GTAGCTGCATAAACCAATGGCGCCGAACGCCAGATTGTCCTCCAATAGGGCGCCCCAACCCGAGTTGGAGGCGTCTGTTGTAACCTCCTTCCTTTTGGAGGTCAGTCCCAACCTTACGCCTGTTTGTAACAGGCGAGGGGTTGTTCAGGGGGCCACAGCTCTGACACAGCAATGGTCTACCCTGACAGACTCACTGTTCGCTGGGGGCACTATTTCCACAGCACCTTTTGCAAGCAGTGTCTGTACTTCTTGTGAGAGAATGAGAGCTTCGTTGTCCGGAAAAAAAGTTTGAATTTATTTAGGGCTGGGACCCTGACGCTTCGGGAAGGGGAAGCGTTTTGCCATCCGGGGGCGCTGCTGCAGCCCATGCTAGGATTTTCACTGAGGCTGCGACGGCTTTGCAGGCTGAGTGGCAGGGCTTTTTCTGGTGACCCGCAGCCGCGGGGGCAGAACGTTTGGGGAGGAAGTGACGCAGCGCCTGCGACTTCTTCTGTGGCTCCAAAAATCACTCCGCAAACCTGTCCACAGCAGGGTCGAAGAGGCCCTTCCGTGAGACCGGTGAGTCCAGAAAAGCCATCTTCTCCGCGTCCCTGATCTCAATGAGGTTCAGCCAGAGGTGGCACTCCAGCACCACCAAGCTGGCCATGGTCTTGCCGATTGCCTGCGCCGTTGCTTTTTTCTCGCGCAGAGCCAGATCTGTTGCTGTGCGCAGCTCCTTGAAAGCCTCCTGGTGTTGTTGGCCAGACTCGTCCATACTACAGAGAAGTTCAGCTTGAAACACCTGGAGTACCGCCATTGTATGCAGCGCCAATCCGGCCTGACCGGCCGCTGCATAAGCCCTGTTGGCCAGCACCGAGGTGGTCCTGCAGGGCTTAGAGGGGCACGCTGCATGGGCCTTCAAACCCAGGGCAAATGGCAGGCACAGATGAGCAGCAACCGCCTCCTCCAGAGGGGGGAGCATGCTGTACCCCTTGACGTCAGCGCCGTCAGTGGTGGTGAGAGCTGCTGCTGCTGTAGAGGGATTAGCCCGGGCCGAGTAGGTGGCGTGCCACGACATGGTGAGTTCCTCATGAACTGCAGGCAAGAACGGGGCGGGGCGTTGGCGAGAGGACTGCTGACGGATTCCTGGCTGGTACCACTCATCCAATAGGCCGTGGGCGGGCTCTTCCGGAGCCGACCACTCGAGGCCCAGATCCTCTACCGCTTTCGACAGGACACAGATGAGCTCGGCGTCCGGTCTTGGCCTCACAGGTTGAGAAGGGGGAAGGGCTTCGGGCTCCTCGCCAGAACTTCCCCACTCTTCTGTCAGGACATGGAGTCATCTGTGGTGATGTCCTCAATGATGACGTCCTCCTCAGATGCGCCG